CGGAAGAATGCAGGAGAAAGTGGTCAACATATATTATACCAGGTATACCTCTGGCTGATGCAGGCAGGACAGTCGCCGCCAGACTTTAATGACGCACGTGGCGTCTTTCTACCAAAGGATTGCCCTGGCGGAGATAATAGCGCCAGAACACCTGCCTGCGAGCGGCACCTCTCCTTGAGCAACTCGGGCGGTGAGATTGCCGCCAGTTGCGTGGGCTTCGCTCTCAGCAAGATTGCGGAGGACACTGCGGGGGGGGGGGGGGGGGCAGAAAGGATTGGTCAAGGGTCGCCAGCTCTTGGGCGGCGTTTTTCCCTGGGCGCGGCGTTTCTGAGGTGGGCTGTCATGGGTGCTTGCCCCGGGCTTGAAACGGCGCCTATATCTGTTTATCTATATAGTTATGTATGTGTGTATGTATGTATGTATGTATGTATGTATGTATGTATGTATGTATGTATGTATGTATGTATGTATGTATATATATGTATGTATAGAAAACGCGCATTTCCCGGCGTCCTGCACAATCATATCTGGGCGGCGCTTAACAAGGTGAACTCGCCCAAGTACGCGCGGCGAGCGATCCGAGCCTTGCGTTCCAGCATGGGGGCGAGCACCAGTTTTCATGGGCGTGAACTGGTATTTCTTCATTTCACGAGGGGTCTCAAGCAAGGGTGCCCGATTCCTGGATTTCTCTTTTGCGCGTGTGCATCAACCCTGTCATCGCTCGGATTCGTCGCAGGCGCCCGGCGCCCCCCATTTCCATAGGTGCCGTTGCCGACGAGATTGGAATTGCATGCAAAGGTGTGCTTCAGTATTCTAGGTGCACTAGCGAAGAGTGCGTTTGCGACGGGGCTCGTGCTGAATTTAGCCAAACGCGTTCTGCGTGTTCCTGATCAGCGGTTCCGCGAAACTGAAATGCCGGATCTCAAGAATATGTGTGTGAATATTGTGATATTTATGAGTGCGTGTTACGGGGAATTCCTGGGGGCGTGCGTGGGCGTTGGCGTGCGGGGGGGGGGGGGGGTCTTGGAAGGTGACGATTAATTTTCTCGCGCGTCGCACCCTGCAAGCGAAACATCTGGGCGGGGGGCTCGCGCTCAGCATCGCAGCATGCAGCGTGCGCGCGCTGCTCGCGGTCAGCCATGCAGCGCAAGTGTGGGAACCGCCCGAGTTTGCGAATATGGCGGAAACAGTGCCCTGCAGGGGCTCGCATGTTCGCCGCGTTGTTCGTTCCCTCCCGGAGATCGCCGCCAACTCCGTGATCTCGGCCATTGGGTTGAAGCCAGGAGTTGGATGTATTTTCGCGTGCCTGTCTGCTGCGCGCTGCCATCAACTCACCCAGTTTTCGCGAGTTGAAGAATATGCAGCTGGAGTTTGCCACATCTGACGAAGTCGGTGCCACGTGGAAGTCCACCGCGTTAGCAGGTGAATCGCTCTTCTTCAGGATGTGGCAGGTGCGCGACGCCTTCTCCCCATGCCCATTCGCTTCCCGACTGCCCAAGGAGGAGAGTTCAGGCCAGGGGAATGAAACTCGTGAACCTTGATCGTCAGAGTGAAAATCCCACGGCCCAGGATGTGTTTTTTCCCCGGCTGGCCAAATCCATCCCTGGTGTGTCTCGGGGCGGCGTTCTCCTCACGTTTGTTCGGGTTAATGTTGCTGGTGCCCGTCCCCCTGCATTGATCCGCGCGGCCGGCTTTTTTTCCCCCTTTAATGTGTGGAAAACCAGGAGATACAGGCTGTCCATCTCTGTATGTGGACTTAGTTATTATGCGCTGGGTGGAGACGATGTGTTGCATTATTCGACTTGCCCAGTACTTACGGAATGCATTCGCGGAGTATTGCCATGGTTTCCCAGCGAGTGGGGGCGTGAACCTCTGAGCTATATCCTGCCACATGTGTTCTCTGCATCCTCTCGCGAGTCTCTTATTTCCCATTATGTTGCTGTAGATGTAGTGCGTATGTTTTCCAGGCTTGTCTGGCTTCTCCCTCTGTTTGTACTAAACCCGCTTTCACCCACCCCCTAGTCGAGCTAGGTTGAGGGTTGGAGCTGGACGGAGTAAGACAATTCGTGCTCTCAGCCGACGTGCCAGAGTTGACAGATATGTTTGTTTTGTGTTGTGGTTGTTGTTCCTGTCCTGGCCAGTGGTGGGCGTGCTCCGTCTTGCTTCTGTCTCCTGCCGCCGTTGGCTGCCTCCGCCTCGCCCCCGCCGCCCCCCACCGCTGGCCGCGGGACGCGGCGGTGCTGGACCGCCCTACCGCCCAGCTTGTTGCCGCCCAGGGGAGGACGGGCCAAGGCAATGGTTTGGGTCGGGTCGGCCAAGCCATTTTACCTCCTCTCGGTCAGTGTTTTTCCTCCTCCTCCTCCTCAGCTTCCTCCTCTTCTTCCCCCCCTCATCATCATCTTCATCATTACCATCATCATCACCATCATCGTCATCATCATCAACATCATTATCATCATCCCTCGTCCTCCCTCTTCCTCCTCCCCCCCTCCCCCTTCGCCTTTTCCTCCTCCTCATCCTCTTCCTCCACTTGTTTTTTCTCCGTTTCCTCCTCCTCCTCTTCGTCCTCCGCCCCCATCTCCTCCTCCTCCTCCTCCTCCTCCTCCTCCTCCTCCTCCTCCCCCTCCTCCTCCTCCTCCTCCTCCTCCTCCTCCTCCTCCTCCTCCTCCTCCTCCTCCTCCCCTCCCCTCCTCCTCCCTCTCCTCCTCCTCCTCCGCTCCTCCTCCTCCTCCTCCTCCTCCTCCTCCTCCTCTCCTCCTCCCTCCCTCCTCCTCTGCCTCTTCTATATATATATATATTATTGTATATATTGTATATATATGTATGTATATATGTATGGTATATGTATATTTATATGTATATGTATATGTATATATATATATAAATATATAATATATATATAATATATATATATATCCGTAAGGGTTTCGCCCCCTGCCGCCGGCCCCCTCTCTCGGAGAATGGGCCATGGAAGAGCTAAGTCATGAGGCCTTGGCGCTGTCGTGAAGCAGTATCGAAACTTCATGCGAAGCCGATTCGCAATCAGCAAAACCAACTGATCACAAGAGGGGTTACCACACCTGGCGATTGGTAAGACGTGTATGGTTTACGGGCTTGGTTACCACACCTTGCGATTAAAGGGCCGAGGGAGTTCTCGCAGTTTGGGTTACCACGCCTTGCGATGGATGTGCGTGAAGGGTGGCACCGAATTTCAGAAATGTGGCAAATCCCCTGTGTTTTTGGACCCTGACCCCGCGGATCTGCGTGAGGGGTGGCACCGAATTTCAGAAATGTGGCAAATCCCTGTGTTTTTGGACCCTGACCCCGCGGATCTGCGTGAGGGGTGGCACCGAATTTCAGAAATGTGGCAAATCCCATGTGTTTTTTGACCCTGACCCCGCGGATCTGCGTGAGGCGTGGCACCGAATTTCAGAAATGTGGCAAATCCCCTGTGTTTTTGGATCCTGACCCCGCGGATCTGCGTGAGGGGTGGCACCGAATTTCAGAAGTGTGGCAAATCCCCTGTGTTTTTGGACCCTGACCCCGCGGATCTGCGTGAGGGGTGTCGATTTCGAGCCCCCCCAGCAATTCAGACAACGCGCCCAGGGGGTGCTAGGAAACTGCGAATCCCGCTCCTCGCAGCCTGGTGGCCCCACAAGGGGGCCGGCGGATTTTTCCTCCCCCTCCTTTTCGTCCAATCCTTCTCCTTCTGGATAAACTCTCGCGGTCGCATCCCGAGGTTGGTCGAACGGCAGGCCGGGCATTTCGCTTGAGACTTCCTCGCCAGTTATGACCGTGATGCTTAAACATTGATCACAGCTTCACGGGTGGAGGGAGGGTGATCTTAAACGTGTGGCTGTCGCTGCATTTTTTTGAAAATGAAGGTTTTCGCGGATTGCGGGCGGGCCGGTTCCAGTAGCGGTTCTCGCTTCAGCGCCGCGCAGTTTTCAAACATGTGCAAGAGTTTCGCGGATGCAAAGGCTGGCCGATTTTAAAATGCAGTTCTCGCTTTCGCGCCGCGCGATTTTCCAAACACTTGCAAGAGCTTCCCAGGTTGAGGGCGGGCCGATTTTAAAGTGCGGTTGCCGCCTTAGCGCAGCGCGCATTCGTTTCAAACATTTGGAAGAGCTTCGCGGGTTGAGGGTGGGTGGTTTTCGGAATGCGGCTTTCGTTTTGCACCGCGCACATTCGTGTTGAGTATTTGGACGAGCCTTACGGATTGAGGGCGGGTTCTTTTTCAAAATGTGGTTTTCAGTTTAGCGCCGTGCACATTTGTTTTATACATGCGGAAAAGTTGCACGGATGAGGGCGGGTCGTTTTCAAAACGTGGTTCTCGCCTCAGCACCCCGCGCATTCTTTTTGAACATATTGCAAGAGTGTCACGGATCGAGGGCAGGTCGTTGTCAAAACGTAGGATTAGCGCCGTTCACAATTGGTTTCAATGTTTGAAGCAGTTACACGGCTTGTGGGCGAGCCGTTTTCAATATGTGGCTCTCGCCGTAGCACCGCACACATTCGTGTTAACAAGTTGCAAGAGCTTCGTTGATTGAGGGCGGCTCTTTTTCAAGATGTGGTTCTCGCCTTCGCGCCGCGCGCATTTTTTTGTTTATACAGTTGTAAAAGTTTTATTGCTTCTCATGGCTAACGTACCAGAGATGGTGCTCAGGAGCGGTTCGTGATTGTCAGGGCGCAACAATTGCGTTGATTCGCGGCGCTGACGTCCCAAAATGGTCTTCTGGCGCGGTTCAGGATCGCCAAGACGTAACAGTCAGGTGAAGTCGTGGCGTTGACGTCCTGAGAATGGTGTTTGGGCACGCTTCAAAGTCTTTACACGATTGTCCCCCAACGCGGCAATTCCCCCAGTGGAAATGACGAGTTGTAAGGGCATCTGGAGCTCTGGAGAGGGATCTTAGAGGGAGGGTGTACTTCAACGTCGTGGATAGAGTCGTGGGTTTACACTGGTCCTCCTCCCTCGTCCTCCCTCTCACCGCGCGCCAGAGGTGCGCTGCTGCTGGGCTGCTCCTTCGTGCCACCGGCTGGGGGCGAGGGCGCCGCGCTCCGAGGCTCAGCGCAGGACCCGCGCGGGCGGCGCGCCGCGCGGACCTCCTTGGGCGGCCGTGCGGCGCCGGCGGGCCCTGCCGAGACGGGCCCTGGACCTCAGATCCGGGATGGGCTGGTGGAGGTACGCAAAGCGTCAACCTTCCTGCGTGTGTTGGCTGATGCTGGCTCCTCGCATGCTCCCGCGGCGAACGTGTAGAGACCCGCTCCCAGGAGACGAGTGTGACCGCCCTGGGCCCTTCGGGAGCGAGAGGAGGACGTGCACACAGGAATGCACGTGGGTTCCAAGAGCACGCGCAGTGCGCGAACGTTTGTATCACGCGGCTGGCCTCGCGGACTGGAGGGGGCCGTGTTCATGTAACCGTGGTTGGGCGCGTACGCCCTTCTATTCACCACCCACCAAATCACCCCAACCCCACCCGAAGGCCTCATGTTGCCCTCCATTTCCAGTGGGGGGGGGGTCGAGGAGCATTGAAAAAGCACATGGAGCCCGTACCCCCCCTAATCCGAAATTCGGGTCCAATTTGTGTCTTCGGGTTGGGGTGGTCTGGTAGGTAGTCATTTATGGGCTCCCTGCTCTTCGGCCGCCATGAGACGCCAGTGGGCCCTGACGAAACGGGCCCTGGACCCCGCGGGGCTTCTGATCCGGGCGCCGCGGGGCTGTACAGCTCGATCTGGCTTGGCAAAAATGGCGCAGCAAAAATGACGCGAACGGTTCCTGAGGACACGGGCCCTGCTGGCACGACGCTGACGGCGCGCCCTCGCACCGCCGGGGGCGGCCAGCGACGACGACGGCACCGACGAACGCCGCCGCCGCCGCCTGATGAAACGGGCCATTGGTCCCGGGGTTGGAGCCGTCTGGGGCCCCGAGGTGGCTCAGCACTCGTCTCGGCTAGCAGGCGGGGCGGACGGGTTCGAGGTTCTGGCGTCGGGAATGTGCTTTGCTGTCTTCGGCCTCGGGGAGCCGTTTTCGGGCTCCAGGATTTTGAGAAATTGTACAGCGGATCCAGGGCGAAAAAATGCACCGAATGGACCCTGGGAGCGGCGTTGCGCAGATCGATCCGGCTCAAAACATGACGCAGAGGTCTAGGACTCTGGCCGTGAATCGTTGCAATGTTGTAATTTTTTCGCCACGTCGGACCCCAGGGTTCCCAGGGTTCCCAGGGTCCTGCGGGCATGACGCCGACACGGCGCGTCATCGCGCCAGGGTCTGCCGACGACGACGACGCCGATGGGGGCTTCACAAAGTGTGACATAGGAGTGAACGGTGGGAGGTCCGCGCGGATTGCTTGGATCGGCGCTGGAGCCCCTCGGCGGCGCCTCCGGCGCCGCCTTTGGCGCGCTCCGCTCGCCAGGAGGGGGTCCACCACGAGAAAAAATAAATTCACGCGGACTTCCGAAAGTTTACATGTATTACGTGTATTCACGCGGACTTCCGTAGATCCAGCAGGGCAACCTGGGGCCTGTGGAAGGCCCCCCCCGTAAGAGGCAGAGGGGGTTGTCGGCATCACCTCCGTCGTCGCTCGTCGCCCCCCCAAGACGGAGAGGCAGTGGGAGCTGTCGCGTCTTTGTCCTCGTCGTCTTCACTTCTAGCGCAAGCTGCGCAACTGAACCGATCCTGGCCAGGCCGATCTTGGGACCATGATTGGTGCGTGTACGTGTTTTCGTAGATCTATTTAACTACACACAACGATATAAGCACACATATAAATAACGTAGGACTTCCATTAATACGTAAACAAACCATGCATAATTAGATAACTAAGTAAATATCACATGGCATTCGGCCCGTTCCGCAGCCTTGCTCGGGCTGTGGGTCATAAGCCTCTTGTATGTTCGTGGTGATGTCGCGGGGGGCCTCATAGGGGCCTCGTCGAGGCAGTTCTGACGCCTCATGAGGGCCGTTTCGGGGCCCCTTGGGGCGTCTTGCGCTCCTGTTGGTGGGCCTCGTGGGGCTTCTTGTGGACATCCTGGGACACTTTTGAGGCGGAAGGCTCGAATTTTCGGTTGGTGTTTCCTCTCTTTGGCCCTTCTTGGGGCTGTTTGGGAGCCCTCTTGGGACGTCTTGGGCGCCTCGTAGGCCGCCTTGGGGCCCTGTTGGGCCGTCGTGGGGCGCTTTCGGGGGCCTCTTGGGGAGTCTTGGGACGCTCTTGGTTGCCCCTGGACCGTCTTGGAGCGTTGGGAAGATGAAACGGCGAGAACGCTGAATACACCCAAGACTGCACTGACGTTTATAGCGGATCATGGTAGCGATGGCTTGATCCACGATCGTGAGGGCTCCGAGACTGTCGCAAAGGAGAAGGCTCTGAACGTGGAGGAGCTCACCCAGAGGCTCCAGCAGCAGGAGGAGGTCATCCGCCGGATGCATCATGGCGCCAACAACGCAGTGAGGATTTCGCTCGGTGGGCCTGGAGTGTCCTGGAGAATTTCGCTCCGGATTTCGATGTGAATTTCGTGCGGATTCTTTCTGGTCGGGAACGAAAACCAATAATTAGCCTGGCGAAGGACCCAACCAGATGTAGCTGTGAGTACCGCAATTATGGGCATCGTATTCGGTGGAGCTCCCTATGGGGCCACGAAGCGCTGCACTGGGTGGGGGAGACGTATGCGAAATTTGCCACTAGGACCTTCGGTGGAGCTCTCTATGGGCCACGAAACGCTGCACTGGGTGGGGGCGACGCATGCGGACGGTCCCACTGGGACCTTCGCTGGGGCTCCCGATGGGCCACGAAACGTTGTGTTGGGTGGGGGAGACGCATGCGGGCGGTCCCACTGGGGCCTTCGGTGGAGCTCCTCATGGGCCCCGAAACGTTGTGATGGGTGTCGGTGGGACTCTCTATGGGGCACGAATCGGTGGGGTTCCCTATGGGGCCACGAAGCGCTGTACTGGGTGTTCGGGACGCATGCGGGCGGTCCCATTGGGACCTTCGGTGGAGCTCCCTGTGGGGCCACGAAGGGTTGTACTGGGTGTTCGGGACGCATGCGGGCTGTCCCAGTGGGACCTTCCGTGGAGCTCCCTGTGGGGCCACGAAGGGTTGTATTGTGCGGGCGGTGTCACTGGGACCTTCGGTGGGGCTCCCTATGGGGCCACGAAACGCTGTGCTGGGCGTGCTGGATGCATGCAGGCGGTCCCACTGGGGCCGTCTGTGGAGCTCCCTATGGGCCACGAAACGCTGTATTGGGTGGTGCGTGACGCACGCGGGCGGTCCCACTGGGGCCTTCGGTGGAGCTTCATGGGGTCACGAAGCGCTGCACTGGGTGGTGCGTGACGCACGCGGGCGGTCCCATTGAGGCTTTCGGTGGAGCTCCCTATGGGGCCACGAAGCGCTGCACTGGGTGGTGCGTGACGCATGCGGGCGGTCCCACTGGGACCTTTGGTGGAGTTTCCTATAGGGCCACGAAGCGCTGTAGTGGGTTGTGCGTGACGCATGCGGGCGGTCCGATTGGGCCCTTCGGTGGAGCTCCCTGTGGGGCCACGAAACGCGTGATGGGGTATGCTGAAACGGGTGATGATGATGAAACGCAGGGAGGAGGGAGGAGGGGGATGAGGAGACGAGAGAGGACGCGGGGCGCTGTCTCTTCATAACGGGGACCCAACACCACAGGACGGTTGAAAACATCCGAGCGGAATTCACAGTTTTTTCGCTCCCCGCTACGGGGCTCCGCATTTGACAGAAGTCCACGCAGAAATCCGCTGCAGCACGTCAGCAAGGCCGGCGCCATGATATGCAGTGGCTGATCGAACAGCAGGCCGCTCGGGCGCGGCAGAGCCAGCAGGCGCTCGAGGATGTGCAGCAGCAGGCTCGGCGAGGAGACGGGATGGGGCAGGGTCTCCACCAGCTCCCCACGCATGGAGGCCTTGAAGGGGGACGCAACCGTCGGGGACACATTCTTGACGTGATATTGGAATTGCATGTGTTGCGATGCATTACCATGGATTTGCAGGGAGGGGCCGCTCCCCACCAACGGTCGCCGAGGTATTCCCTCGTGGCGCTCTACGACGAGCGCTTCCGGTTCCACCCCCAGGAGGCCTTGAAGGGCAACCAGGGGCCGAGGCTCATGGTAAATTTACATCGGGCCTGTGCCTCTGCAGGAGGAATGTTCCAAAGTGGTCCAGAAATAGCCAGGGGACGATGTTTTACAATAGTTGTTGAGCATGTTGAAATTATTTGCGGGGTATTTTTTGCATGTGTCATCCAAAATCCACCTGTAGGGGGGCACCGCCCGACCTGAAACCATTGGCCGAGGCTCTTGGTAGACAGCCGTGGCCTGGGCAAGCCGGGCCAGTTGTCGACCCGCGAGGAGGACTTCGCGGTCTGGACGAGATAGACTGCCAACTACCTTGCATCGGTGTCCCCAGGCGCGGCGGAACTCCTCGGGCCAGCGGCGACCGCAGCCGCTGGGCCCGGGGCCGTCGACGACGCGCGCGCGCTCGCGCAAGAAGCGGGCGAGATCGAGGCCGAGGACGCGATGGAACTCAACGGGCAGTTGGACGAGTGCCTGATGACCCTCGCGGTGCGTGACGGGCTCGACGTGGTCGCCGGCAGCGGCGACGGCAACGGGTTGTGCGCGCGGAGGCGGCTGCGCGAGAGATACGACCCGCTGGCGCTGAACAAGAGTGTAGGGCTGCTGAAGGAGGTGCTGCGGCCGACGAGGGCCGAGGTGGACGACCTCTTGGGCGCTCTGGGGCAGCGCGAGGAGCTCGCGCTCCGGCACTGCGGCAGGAAGGACAGCCAGGGCAACCTGCGGGAGCTTTCACAGGGCGCGGGCATGGCCAGCGCGGAGGGCCTTCTCCTGGACGACTTTAAATCGCACGCCCAACTCAATCGAGCCCGCCTCGATAAGTACTCGAAGACGCGGGAATAAATTTCCGCGCGCGTCGAGGCTCGCGCGGGATCCCGAGTGACGAGGAAGGGCTAACGTCCCAGCGAGGAGTCATCGTGGACTTGAGAGCATCGGCGGAGGCACGTCGCCTTTGTCCAGATGCGCAGCCTTGGCGCGGAGGCAAGGGCGCGAGCACGCGCTGGCATCCAGTCCCTTCGACGTCGCGCCGTGCCAGGGGGGAAGGCATTATGAGTTAGGCTTGGGGGGTTCTTCTTAGAAGCCCCCCCCCGTGTCCGATCCCGTCTCGGGGGCCCTCGGCCTTGTTGGAGGGCGGCCTCGCTGCGCCGCCCCATTGTGCGCGCTGGCCGCCAACCTGTCCTCGTCGTCCTCCGCTCTCTCCTCTCCTCCTTGGCTGGTGATGGCTTGGTGGATTGCCCCTCCATCCGTCGTCGACGCGACTGGTTCATGGCCCCGCCGCGTTGGGGCCCCGGGAGGGCTTGAGGACGCGCAGAGAGCCGACGTCAGCAGTTTCTAGGGGCTTCTTGGACGACAGCATCAAGGCCTCCTTGGCCAGGCAGCAAAGTTCGATGTGGCCAAGGTCCACGATGTCCTCCACGCGGCCAGGTATACGGCATTGCGCAAAGCGAGACAATCGAGCGGGGCGATTCAGAGGGCGATCGAGGCGCAAGTTTCATGGCAGTTGGGTGCGGGGGGCGGCCTAGGACTTGTTGGGGGAGCGCGCGGCCGCCATGGAACGAGAGCTCGCTCCACGAAGCGAGCAGCCGCCGCGGACCGTCGCGTCACCAGTTGATGTTCGCGGCGCGTGCGAATCCCATTTGGCAGAGCTGTGGCTGAGAAGGGGGGAGCCCTGAACAAAAAACGCGCGCGCCTCGGAGCGCCCCCGCTGGGCCTGGCCCGCTGAGTTGCTGAGTCCCTCAGCGCCGGCCCTGCGCCGCGCCACGTGAGGTTTCTCGCTCCCGCCCCGGGGCCCGCCCTGCGATCGCGGATCGGATGGGCACAACGAACGCGGGCGCCAGTCTGTCTCGTGCGAATCAGAGGATGGATTGGAGTTGCGGGGTCACGAACGGCAGGAGGGGGGCCCATGCTGTTGCAGTTTGGACGCGATTTGCGTGCGCTTTCGGGATGCGAAACGTGCGCTTGCCCCTCGCCGATCCTGGCCAGGCCCATCCTGGGCCCAGGATCGGTGCACGTGCCCTCTTGGTTCGGCGAGCAAGACATCTGCACCAATCCTGGGCCCATGACTGGTGCGGCCAGGATCGGTGCAACCAAATAGGTGGCGCCCTCGGGTGTTCGTGAGAACGCGCGTTTTCGCCCCCTCCGTCCTTGTCGTCGTCGTCGTTTCTGCTACGCCGCCTGACGTTTCACAGCTTTACCGATTCACCGTGCGATGCCCTCTTGACATATTTGCCGCGCGCTAAAGGATTCAGTGGGATGGATGTTTGGCCGCCGCCACGTTCCGCTCCGCTACAGTCCCCCCAGCGCATATACTTCGGCAGTGGATACCTCGGCGAGCCATTCGCCAGCCCATGTGTGCAATTTGGACTCAAGGACTGCGCGCCATGAGTTTCAGCGAGCAGCTGGCCCGCGAACTTCTTTATACCATCCAGACAAATTTGCAAATCTCGGGGCCGGAGCCCAACCCCAGGCTTCACGTGCGGCATGGTTGTGGAGGGCCCCCGCTCGAACAGGATCCCTATGCCGTACCGCCCTCGCCGCCTTGAAATTCCCACATGTTGTGTTCCCTGCAGGTTTTGTCTGGTGTTCAACCATGGACCCATGTTAGCGTTATGAAGCGCAGCCGTCCAGCTTTCCGCGCCGAAGACGGCCAGAACCCGCTGGACCCCTCCGAAGTCCGCTGGAAGACCGCCAGAAGGCCGCCAAAAAGCGCCCAGGGCGATTTGGCAACAAGGCAACAAGGGGTCCAGGATTGAACGTTGGGTTTTGGCGCGTGCTGCTCTTTCATCAGTGCATCTGGCATCGCTCGGACGTGTGTATTTTTCGGCGAGGTTCCCCGAAGACCATCCTGGACCATCGGGCAAAAAAACACGCACGAAACCGAAAAATGCACGGGGAAAGGACGTCCGAGCGATGGCTAGGAGCACCTTGTGGCCGGCCCCGTCCTGCTCGCCCGCTCCAGCGGGACGCCCCGCGCCGTTCGCCGCCCGGCCCCGGCGACCCCGAAGGCGAGGCCTCTGCGCTTCGAGGGGGATCCCCGAGCGGTGCGCTGACCCCTCCGAGTGGTGAGTCTGTGGGATTCTCGGGCCGATCGAAAGCGGGGTATGGGGAAAGGGGGGTTACGAAATCTGCTGCATGCAGCTGGTTTCGGCCCCGCCGCGGGGCCCATTCCTCGATGCATGGGCGCCTCCCGGCGCCGGGAGGCGCTGGTAAACGTTCCCCCCGAGATTCAGGTTGGCCGCGCGGTTTTTGGGCTTGGCTCGTTCTCCAAGGATGTCCCGGGCGATTGGGGCCTCCAAGGTCCCAGGCCAGTGTGGTGGCGGACCGTGCGGTGAAGCCCCGCCGTGGTTTCCGAGGTCACCGCGCGGTTTTTTACCGCACCGCTCTGGGAGGGAGGGTGGGAGAATGTGCAGGGACAACGACGCCGCACCCGAGACGTGTACCCGAGAGGCTTCAAAGGGCCCCCGGAGAGCCCCCGGAATGCTCACAAGATGCGTCCGATGTTGCCAGCGCGCTTCCAAGATATGGCCCAAGGACTTGTCCCAGATAGCCGAAGATAATCCGACGTGCCTCTAATTTTGTTGCCCAGGCTTGCCTCGAAGGGACCCCCTCCTCCTCGCACCCGCTCGCTTCGACTCCCCTCCTCCGTCATGCCGGCCCTCCCCCCGTTCTCTTGCCCTCCCTAAGCACCGCCGCCTTACCTTCCGTCCTCTCTCGTGCCTCCTCGGCGTGCAAACCTTGCGTCGGGGGAGAGCGCTCGATAATCAAATGCCGCACCTGCCCTACCTGGAACTCGTCGGTGCCATCGGAAATAGTGCAGATCGCGGAGCGCGTTCCGCTACTCGCAAAATGCCTACTCGCTAAAGCCAGAAAAATACATGTCTGCTTTGATGTAACTTATCGTAGATCCCCCGCGGGGGATCCACGCCATTTGCGAGCAGTTAATTTGCGAGCAGTGGAACGCGCTCGTCGAGCAGAGGGCACCCAAACCCAGATAGCATGGGATGACCGCCCCGTCGCAGGGCCGCTGTGGAGTGGAAGTCCTTTCCACGACCGAGGACGTGCATGACCACGGTGAGCACGGCGGAACGCCGGACGTGCGCGGATATGCCTAGCCAGTGGGCGGCCTAGGGTTAAGTCGGGCCTATTCTTCTACAGGAGGAAAATTCAAAAACAGTCAAAGAAATAGTCAGGGGACGATTTTTCAATATTTTTGAGTATGGTATGGGTGCTTTTATGTTGAGTATTCCTATTTTTTCGTCAAACAACCGCCTGTCGGAAGACACGCCCGACCTAAGCCTGGGCGTCCATGGGCCATGCGGGTTCTGTCTCCTTGTGTGGATGCTCGTCGGGGGGAGAGCGGCCCAGACTCGCTGCAGCTTCAGAACAGCCTCCGCGGTAACTCTTGTTCGGCTAGCGTGGGAGATTGGCCGCTCACGCTGCATTTTCGGGCAGCGCTGTCGGCGTTGAAGATCACGGCATTTTACTGCACTCGACGCGGATGGCGGCGCGATTGGGCGGAGAAGGTCCTTCAATAATTCACCATGATCTGTCCATCGGAGCCCACCTAGCTCGAGAGGGGCCATCTGGTGTTCTTCGCCTGCTGCCGTGCTTCCCTTTCCTGTCCTCTGTGGTCCTCGCTCCCCCATGTCGCCCCCCCCCACTCTCTGTAGAGGACGCGGCTCAGTTCGCGGCAGCCGGCGCGCTGTTGTCTGCCCCCGAGGCTCCGAGGGCAGGTCCGAGGATTCGGCAGGCCGCAGAGGAAAGTGGCCATGCTTGGGTTAAGTCGGGCACGTCCCTCCATAGGAGGAATATTCAAAACCAGTCCAAAAAATAGTATGGGGACGACTGATTGACTATTGTTGATTAGTTTTGATAATTTTTGACTATTTTCATTCTTCGCCCAAAATCCGCCTGTAGGGGGGCATGCCCGACCTGATGCTTAAGGCGTCACATGGGGGGGCCAGATATGTAGCCGGGGCTGGCCGATCTATCGTCGCCAGCTCTGCCAAGTTTCCTCTTTGATTTTCTAGCCCTGGCCAGCACCCGCACGTTTCTTGCTCCCGAGTATGGCCAGCCCCATCTAAGTACTCCATCCTTGGTCACATCCACGTTTATTGAAACCGCGTCTCTCATCGCTCTCTTATTCTGGGAGGGTATATTTTGCGCTCGGGGGAACCATTATTTCCATTGACGGGCGCAATTCCGTTCACAACAGCATAAGCCTAAGGCAGTCCATTTTGATTATGGGAAGGAGTTGGCGGTTCAGTTGCGACAGTTGTTGTGGAACAGGTGGAAGCCTTTGAGTGTTTCCATTCATTACGCCGCGAAGATCAGATGCGCACCGTGGCAAACATGATGTTAGAAATGGTTTAGCCGCCGAGAGGAAAGAGAGGCCAGCAGCATGAGGATGAACAGGAGGCCTTCGAGGAAACCGAGGAGGAGAAAGGATGGTGAAGGAATCCAGCCGTAGCATCAAGATGAGGACGATAACGGGAGAGATGGTGAGGATCAGGAGGGGCGAGTGTACGCGAGCGCGCTGTGTGATGCGTGTTCTTGGGCCTGAGAAGGGCGATAGTGGCAGGGGCACGAGAATGAGCGGCGCCATTGCAGGGCACAGAAGGGGCAGGCGCGGCACGCTTCGGCGACTTGGTCCGGCTTGGGCATTGAGAGAATTCCCGCCCAGATATGTCGGTTGTGGAATTCTACGTGGTAACTATTGGTGCGGTCACCCGTCGGTTTCGCTAATCGGAGTGCGTTTCATCGGGTACGTTCGGTTGCTTTTTGCGTCGATCAGTTGTTTTGCCCAGGTGCAGTCGGAATGCGGTGCCGCGCGCGCCCCATGGAGTGCCCAAGCAGTTTTGGCTACGGGTCGTTTCGCTACAGGGGCTTCTGTCAACCGTCGACTTGCGCTCTGTCCACCCTGTCCTGCTTGGCCAAGGCTCGACCAGCGGGCGTAGTCTCAGCCCTTTCTTGCCCGTGCCCTCATCAGGACCAGACTTGTTCACCTGATATTGTCTATGTATGGCTGGACTCAGCTCGTCATCAAATTACCCCCTCCCGCCAGAGACTCCAAGGATGCAAGGGCAGGTACTAGACGTCCTTGTGGACGCGCTTGCAGCGGCATGGGGCCAACTGCCCTAACGCTTGCGGCCGAGGGGGGGGGGGCCGTGGGGCCGTCAGCGTTCGCCTTCTGGGCGAGGATGGAGGTAGGTCGGCGGGAAGGGAAGGAGAAGGAGGAGCAGGAGGAGCAAGAGGAACAGGAGGAGCAGGAGGAGCAGGGTGAGAGGGGAAGGACGGTTGTGGGAAGCGGGGGGTTGGGAAGCGGGAGGAGGAGGAGGAGGAGGAGGAGGAGGAGGAGGGTGATAGGAAGAGGATGGTGGTGGGAAGGGGAGCAGGACGAGGAAGCGGAGGAGGAGGAGAACGACGACGACGAGGACGACCGACGACCTGGACGACCTGGACGTCCTGGACGACCTGGACGACCTGAACGACCGACGACCTGGACGACCTGGACGAGCGACGACCAGGACGATGGCGACGAGCCCCGCGAGGCCGCCAACGCTCGCCTGCCGGACGAGTTCGTGTGGGGCGCCCCGATCGTCGACGTGTTGCCGGCCGCGCGCCTCAGCCGTGCCGCGCCCTCCGCCCCCGTCGCCGCGCGGCGCGGCGGCGGGCACTCAGGAGGGGGAAGAACACACAGACACAAGTAATCGTCGACTCCCAGGAAAGTGTGCGAAAGTATGGGAAGTGGGAGAAAAACAGAGTAACCCGGAAAATATTGCAGAATATGGGAATTTTGTTAATTATTACTAGTGTCTATTTATTTGTGTGTCCCAGGGCCCCTTCAGGCACGGGAGGTCAAGGCTGTTTATCAAACGGCCTTGGGCGTTTGCTAGTCAGCCCTGCCCTGTTCAATTCCTTCTCTGGGCGCGTCTACTAAACGACTCCGCGTGTCGGGGTGGTCATTAACAGACGGGGGGGGTGTTTTTTGACTTCTACAGCTGCCTGCATCGTTCGGGGGGCTCCAGATGGTGCGGTGACCACACCGTGCAGTGAGTCCAGTGGGGACTCGGGGTGACCGCGCGGTCGCGAGGCTCGGTCCGTTCTCTCCGAGGACGTCTCGGGCGAGCGAGGCCTCCAGGGTCCCAAACCCGTGCGGCGACGGTCGGCCACGCGCAGCGGGGGCCGGGGGGGAGGGGGGAGGGCTTCTCAGAGGCACCCCTGCTTCTTAGAAGGCGCGGGACTCATCTGTAGACGCAAGGCCGGCGCCTTCTGAGAAGCAGCGCCTCCTTCTAAGAAGCCCTCCCCCCCTCCCTCCACCCCCTTGTGCGCGCCGCCAAGCCTCGGAGAACCGAAGGCGGCGAACGTAAACATACTTTGTCGGGGGTCCGCGCGGATTTCTCGGATCGGCGCTGGGCCCCATTGGCAGCGTCTTCGCCGCCGCCCCTGGCGCGCTCCGCACGACAGGGAGGGGGGTCCGGCGTCGATCCGGGGCATCCCCGCAGACCTTCGGGAAATGATCGCATCGACATGGTATTTGCGCGATCGCTGCGGCTCGTTATAAGCGGCTCTCTCACTGCGAGCCCGCTGGGTAATTCTTATTCTAGACGCTTCGCAATACCCCACCCGCGCCCATGCGAGTTGCCCTGTGAAGCCTTCATACCCCAAGAGGGAGAGGATGGGGGAGGAATCGGAGCAGGAGGAAGAGGAGGAGGAGGGCGAGCAGAATGGCCAGAGGCCTCTTGGATGCCTCTCGGAGTCCCTTCGGGCGTCCTTTAAAAGCTTCTGTGAGTCCTCGAGGAGCGTCTTGGGGGACTCTTGGCGGTCCTGGGAGCATCTTAGAGCGTCGTGGGTGCCTCGGGGGAGCCTCTGGGGGGTCTCTTGGGAGCCTCTCGGGGACTTCTTGGGGGAGCGTTGGGGACCATCTTGGGGCCATCATCTTGGAGGAGTTCGATCACAGAGGGGAGGTCCCGCATTAGGGCCCCCACCTTCCCCCTGGAGGCGTTCTTGGACGCTTCAATCGGTCGCGAACTCCTCCGTCCAGGACCAGGGGGAGGGGGGAGGGGGAGGGGTCGAGGCCCTCCCAAGACCGCAAGCCGTCTCGCTCACTTCCACGCGCCCTCCCAACACACAAGCAGTACCCGAGTCTCAGCACATCGCCGAGGAGCGCCACGCATGCCATGTGCAGAGGGGGGAAGAGAAGGAATGAGGAGGCAGAGGAGGGGCGGCAGGGGACGGCAGGGGCGAGCGGCCGGCGCCATCGGCGTGCCAACGCTTTGCCGGGCCGTGTGTGGTGCAGAGCATCTCCGTCGTCGGCGGCGCGGCGGGGCGGCGCTTTGTGCAGATGCGGGGGGCGCAATGCGGAGCAGCGTGGACCGCAGTAGGAGGGTGTAGGGGGGATGGGGGAGGGAGGGTGGAAGAGGAGGAATAATTAGGATGGAGGAGGAGGAGGAGGAAGAGAAGTGGTGAGGATGCGGGGGGAGAGGGTGATGGGAAGGGGAGGGGGAGGAGGAGGAGGAGGAGGACGAGGAGGAGGAATCAATGGAAACGATGGTCTTGGCCAGCTTCTTCAGATGTGCAAATTCGCTGACGTGTGGCTTGTGTCCGATATGCCGATCTACAGGATCGGAAATTAGTATGTCTTTCAACGCCACGCCGAAGCCCTACCGACAACCGAAAGACAGATGTAAGATGTTGCTCCCAGGCCGCGTGCGTGCTGTTGCGCCCAAGCCACCCCCCTCGATACAAATTCTGATTCAAGGACCCCCGGCGGCGGGACCCCTTGGGGTATTCACTCCATCAGTAAATTGTTGTATCGTAAATTGTTGTATCACAAAGGAGGCCTGGTTTGGCTTTGTTTGGACTGGTTCGGCAGGGCACCTCGCTTGAGACATCTTGAACATTTCCGTGGCCTGGACCCTGGCGTGGCTTGGTTCGGGGCTGGTTTCGCCTCGGACGTGCTGTTTCGGCGCGATGTTGCTGGAGATGTCCTCGCAAGTTACGTGGTTCGTCATGGTTTCTGCGCGGTTAAGCCGGAAGACGTCCTCGCAATTTGCTTTTTTAGGCGCGGCTCCGCCAGGCACGTCCTCACGTTTATTACGTTGGCTTGGTTTGGGCACGGTTCTGCCTGATACGTCCTTACGATTTTTCGTAGGGCTTGGCTTGGGCACGGTGCCGCTTGAGACGTCCTTGTGATTTGATTGGTTTGGCCTGGTTTGGCCGCGGTTTCGCCTGCGATGCCTTCAAGTTCTGCTCGATTTGATGTGATTATGGCTGGGCTTCGCCCCCGGCGTCGTAATAATTGGCCTGGCTTGATGCGGTTCGGGCGGCACTTCGCTTGAGAGGTACTCCACCTTTGTTCCACAGCTCTTCCAGAACATGTTGGATTAACTCCTGGAGGGCGCAGTTCTAGCTTCGGAATTCGCTGCAGTCGGCGAGGCCGCCGTCAACGCTTGCAACATAATAGGCTACGTCCTGTTCCTTTTCTGGTGTTCCCCTTTTCCGCTTCTTCTGCGAACTGAATAAATTATCAGAATCCGATTCTTCCTCCTCAAAAATTTATTCCCTCCACTTCCCCCATTATTACATGTATCCTTCTCCCCGTCATCCTCCTCTTCCTCATCTTCATCCTCTCCCCCACCTCCACTTCTTCCCGTCTTGAAGCTCGAGCGAGTCAGCGGACACCCACTGAATCCACCTCTGGCCCAGAAGCATAAGACCGAGCGAGTCAGCGGACACACTTGGCACCCACCCATGCCTCAGAACACTGAAATCGAGCACGTCAGCGGGCACCACCTGCACCCCCCCATTGCGGTGCAAAGTGCAATGTTGTGCAGGCCATGTGGTGCAAGTTCTGCGTTGTAAACTATGTGGGGCAGCCCGCAGCGCTTCGCCCTCATTGACATGTGGCTGGCATCAAACCCGCGTTGGCCCGTGGACAGGCGTTCGGAGAAATTTCTCCCGAGCTTGTTAATGAGCTCGAGGCGACGCGAACTATTCGAAATGCAACATAGGCCCCTTCATCTTCCTGCCCTTCCTCATGCCTCTTACCCCATCACCTTTCTACTTCGCTATTTCCCTTTTCCCCTCATCCTCCCGGCCCCCATTCCCCGATTGAAAATCGAGTGAAGGCGTCCTGGTCATATTCGAGGGCGTTTGACCTCATCAAAGCCTGCTCAATTGGCCAACGGGAAGTTACGAGGGAAGAGGAGGGAAGGAGCAGGGAGGAGGGATGTGGAGGGTGGGTGACCGAGAAGAAAGCTCGTGGGAAGATGGGGAAAAAGGTGATTTGCTTGCGGAGGGCGTGGCCGCAGCGAGCCACAGTGAGATCACTTGGGTGTAAAGATATTATTGATTATTATTTGTTTAGTTTGGTTTGGTTTGTTTGATACGATTACAACCTCAGAGGCCATAGCAACGCGTGCTGTGCTTGTCCACGTGTTGGCAAATGGGGGGCTGCTAGGGAAGACGCCATGCACATCTTTGGCATGTCCCCAGGGATTGTAGTCTCGAGTGTCCGCGGCATGGTCGTGAAACGCAGCACGCAAACAGCGCGTACGTCGATCGAGCGTGGCACATGCCCAAGCATTGTTGCAGTCATGACTCCTGATGCAGGGGAGCTTGACGCACGCGGCCCCGACCATTGTCAAACATGAGTGCTGTCCGTGAGCTCGGGCTATGTTGCCATCTGTCCACAGGTGGTGGTTGATCGCAGAGTCCAACTGCCTCCATCTGTCGGGGGGCCCCAAACTCAGAAACCAGGCGAAGGTTGGCAAACCCCTGGCGGCTAAAACGGAGCTCCAGGAGATTGTGTTCTCCCTTCCGAGAAGCAGCCTGTTGTTACTATCTATCACGCTGAGCTGTATCCCGGGAATGTGATTGCTTCCTCCGGGAAAGACCGTGTGAGCAGCCACGAATTTGCCAGCCCTCGCCGAGCTTCCGACAAACGGCGCGGTGACCCCGCCGTGTAGCGAGTCGGTGGGGCTTCCGGGTGACCGCGCGGTCGCGAGGCTCGGCCCGATCTCGCTGAGGACGGCTCGGGGGGAGCGGGGCCTCCGGGGTCCCAAAACCGTGCGGCGACGGACCTTCAGGTCTTCTCCTCCTCCTGCTCCTCCTCCTCCTCCTCCCCCTCCTCCGCCCTCCTCCTCCTCCTCCGCCCTCCTCCTCCTCCCTTGCCTCCTCCTCCTCCTCCTCCTCCTCCTGGCCGGTAGCACATCATGGAAGCCTCGTGTACCCTCGCAATTCCATCTTCAGAGCGCGTCGGGCTCGGATGGCGTTTGGTAGTGGATGAGGAAGCGTCGATTTAGCGTCAGCGTGGAAGCCTTGTGTACCCTCTTTATTCCGTCTTCAGAGCGCGTCGGGCTCGAATGGCGTCTGGTAGTGGACGAGGAAGCGTCGATTCAGCGTCAGATTAGCGGCGATGCAGTGTGGATACGCGTCGATCAGCGTCGACTCGCAGGAGCCAGCGAGGTGGTATGGGATGCTCCCATGAGTTGCCGCAGAACCTTGAGGTGAGGCCTTTGGGGAATTCCGAGATCACCGCACGTCAGCCACGCGCAGAGGGGGGTAGGGTGAGAGGGGGAGAGGGCTTCATAAAGGCAACCTTGTTTCTTCAAAAGGCGCGGGCATTACCCGTAGATGTAGGGCCTCTTGTTCAGGAGCGAGAGAAGGACGCACGCGTACATGAATCCAAGCTGGTTTCGAGCGCACGCATTACCCGAATGTTCGTATCACGCGGCCTGTCTCGCGGATCGAGGGGCCGTGTTCATGCACATAGCTGGGCGCGTACGTCTTTTGTGGGCTCCCTTCTTGTGCGCGCCTCCAAGCACCTGCCCCCTTGTGCGCGCCGTGGTGCCCTGAGCGCAGCGCGTGCGCACCGCCCGCGCTGCCGAGATCCTGCCGATATTCTTCTTCCTGCTGGCCTTCCTGTGGCAGGCGCTCGCCGTGCGCGGTCGCGTTCGCTGTCGTTTTTTGTTTTATGTTTGTTGTATCTCTCTCCCTCTCTCATTACCTGTCTTTCTCCGTGTCTCCCTCTCTCTCCTTTTCTCTTTCTCTCTGTCTGTCTGTCTGTCTGTCTGTCTGTCTGTCTGTCTGTCTGTCTGTCTGTCTGTCTGTCTGTCTGTCTGTCTGTCTGTCTCTCTCTCTCTCTCTTTCTCTCTCGTTATCTCTCTATCCATCTATGTCTCCTCATCATCGATTTCTCTCTCACTCTTTCTGCCTCTATCTCTCTCTTTTTGTTTTCCTCTCTCTCTATATATATAGAGATAAATGAATAAGTACCGCCCCCCCAGCCCCGGGTCCCACACCTCCCCGGAACATCTCGGGAACGCTCCCGGTACCGCTCCCCCAGCCTTTCCGGGGAGCCTCCACAGCGCTCAAGGATGGCCCAAGACGCTTCCCAGGAGCCCCCAGAATGCGAAAGGATGGTCCAAGACGCTCCCAAGCAGCCCAAGTCAGCCTTCCAACGGCTCTCGAGGCTCCCAGGTAACCTCCAAGAGACCCCAAGGGAGGTCCGAGAGGCGTCCCAGGACGGCCCGAAGAGGCCAACATCGTAGATTTTCATTGTTTTTGTTTCAATGTTTTTGGCTTCTCGCGTTTTCGAGCTTCCAATGGTCCAAGATCGCCGAGGAGGCTCCCAAGACCGCCCCAAGACCACACCAGAGACCCTCAGAACGGCCCCAAGACGGGCCAAGAAGGCTCCAAGACTGCCGAAGAGGCGCCCAGGACAGCCCCAGACCACCCCAGAACAGGCCCAAGATGGGCCCAAGAGCGGGAGCACGAGGCTTCCAGAGGCCTCCGAGAGGCCTCCGGGACCACCCAGGGGCCCCCCCAACACACCCCCGATCCCTGAGAGGCCCCAAAAAGACCGAGCCGAGGCTCCAAGAACAGCCCAAGAGAGCTGCGAGAGCCGTTCCGAGAGAGCCCAAAGAGGGTAACATCGCTTTGATTTCCAAGGATGTTTCCACTGTTCTTCGCCTTCTCACGTTTTCCCGCTTCCAACTCTCAAAGATCGAGGATTTGAAGCAACTCCAATAATTCACTTGTTTTTTCGAAGTGGAACTCCTACTCGGGGGTCCTACCCAGCCCATGACATCTGGCCGGTGCCGCGCCTTCTGGCTTCTTGGGCCCAAGACGCCGAAGTACAGCCCATGACGACCCCAAGAACCTCCCAGAACGTAAAGAACGGCCCAAGACGCTCCCAAGCAGTCCAAAGCAACCGGGCGCAGACCCGACGGCGCTCGACCTGTCAATGAAAAATCCTTGACCCTATGGCACTGAGTCAAGGGCTGGCATTCCCGATGAAAGACGCTCACGAGTAGTCTCTCACACGCATTGCTTCGGCGACGGCGCCGCCCAAGGAAACGGCTGGTAATTCGTCCAGCAGAGCACGACCAGCCGCAGTCAGCCCAGCTGCCCGCGAATCGTGCGACGATTATGACTTGTTTGAACATCTCACTGCCGCCGCCCCCGCCTGCGCCAGATAAGAGAGGCGAGGCTGCAGACGATCCTGTTCCAGAATACCCGCCCGATGACGAGGGCCCGGGGGGGGGCGCGACCGCCAGATGAGCCGGCGGCGGTAGATGGTTTCGACCATCAACGAGAAGCTCAAACTGACACAAGAGGGAAACTCAGTTTATGTTTTGCCGAGCACAGTCTGGATGCAGTCGCGTCTGTCGCGCAAGCGTCGAGGTTCCGGGGGGATTCCGACACTTTAACAACTATTGGCTCGAACCACCTAAAATCCAGACAACGTGGAGTATTTCGGGGACAAGCAGCTTGTTTATAGATTGTCTACTGAAAAGCGATATCAAAAGCTTCCGCTGACAGGCAAGCGAAAGACATGCAACGCGCGTGCACTTTTCGCATTGCGATCCTGAATGCGAGCCTGTCACTCGGATGCAGGATGAAAGGCTCTCAATGTGGTACCCAGCTGTTGAAAAATATCCCCGGGTCCACGAATCCCGTGGCGCATCCGTGCAGATGGCCCCACGTGACCAAGGGGCCCAACGGAGAACAAAGCAGAGCCATTGAACGATACAAAGCCGAGAAGTTGGGGTTTTCAGCGATCGAGGATACAGGGCCACGTCTCGAACTTCTGAGGGATATCGGCACGCGGGTAGCGAGGGTCGCCCGCGACGCGGGCAATCTTACTGCCGTGGGGGAATTCCTGCTAGATGCCGGCCCAGATCAGTTGCAAACAATAGAACTTTGGCAAGAGTCCGACACCGAATCTGAGGGCGAGAACATTTGGTGGCAACAAACGTGGCGTGGGGGAGCGATCTTTCGGGATGGTGGCGATCCAGGATCAGCCTGTGGCGATCACCGACCTTGGGCACCACCTCCCTCAAAAAGGGCTTGCCTGGCCACGAGACAGGCGGCCGCCGCACAACGGCGTTGCGCACCTAGACTGCCATTGCAACCATCGACGCCTTGCGCTCGGGTGCATCGAGAGAACGGGAGAAAGCCAAGATGGACCTTCAATTTTGCTACAAACCATTCACAGACGCGAGCCGAGCATTCGATTGGGGAAAATCAGCGACCGACTCAGTCGTCCTGTCGACGGATCCGTTACCCTATGCGATCGACGCGACAGCACGCCCGGCCACAAAACCAGAGGCAGTTGCGAAACCAGAAGCCCCCAAAGCGCTGCGAGCTGAGTGGGACAGACTGCGGCCCATCGGAACGTGGGGCGAAAGCAAAGTTCAGGAGTATCATGAAAAGGCGGGACTGCACATGTCGGTCGACCCTTCGCGATTCCTACTGAGAAGATTTCTGAGTTGCCAGGGGGGCGCAAAGGCCGTGAATTCAAGGGAAGAGTCGTATTGGACGGTTCCGGCGTGCGTCTTCAAAAGAAGCATGTGGCATTACTTCAAGAGTTTTCGAGCAGTCCTGCCGCTATGCGCGCTAGCAAGGTGGCTGACACGCATGGGTTACTTAACGGTCATGCGATACATCAGGCTGACGCAGGCTTGCACCCAATCCAAGTTGGGCGGGACCCCCACCTGGATTGTTTGTCGAACGAGAATGGCCAGACTCATAATCACATATGCTGATGATACCTCGTCATCCCTGTGGGGCTGCGACCTGTGAAACTGTCGCACTTCCGGGGGTTGCTTGGGGGTCCGGCGGAGTGACGTTTTATCCGGATCCAGATCAGACTTCGCCATCCCCGAGGGGTTGCGATCTGCGAGACTGCCGGCACTTTCGAGGGCTGCTGGAAGGGTCGAGCGGAGTGACGTCTTACCAGGATCCAGATGAGACCTCGAAGCCCCTCGGGTGGCTGCGATCTGCCAAATTGTCACCAGTTTCGAGGGCTGTTGGGGGTCCAGCGAAGCAGCGTCTTGCTGTCGCCACTATCGAGGGCTGCTGGGGGCCCAGCGGAGTGACGTCTTATGCAGATTCAGATGAGGCTTCGCCATCCCTGAGGGGCTGCGACCTGTAGTAATTGTCGCCACTTTCGAGGGCTGTTCTGGGTCCCGCGGAGTGACGTCTTGCGCGGACCAGCAGAAGACCTCGCCACCCTTCGGGGGGCTGCGATCTGCGAAACTGTCGCCGTTTTACAGAACTGCTAGGGGGCCCAGCGGAGTGACGTCTTACGCGGACCACCAGGGGACCTCGCCATCCAGGGGGAGTCCAGCGGAGTGACGCCTTTTTTCTTCTACTTCGGGGTTGCTTCGAGTTCCAGGATCGTCAGAGTCCCGGCAAGGGTGCAGAGATAGATTTCGAGGGGCCCCAAAAAGCGGCGGATGCGGAAAGGCGGAGGGAAAGGAGAAGAAGGATAAGTAAAAAAAGGGGGAGGAGGTCCGGCACATGATGCCGCGGCGGCGCCAGCGCGGTTCTTACACCAACTGTATAACCGGTTCAAAATGTGTTTCGAGGCCCGCGGCGACATGGCGCAGACAACACTGCATTTGTGGCGCATTGCCGAAAAAAACAACATTCTTCGGTCTCTTCCCGTCACTGTCGTCGTCGTCCTCTCCCCTTTGCCACCTTTCATATGCTGTTGCCGCGCTGACAGTTCGGCCCCTCACACGTCATTTTTCTGCCTTTCGTTCCCGCCCCCATATCCTCCTCAAGCCTGGGACCTCGTTCCTCGTCCTTCTGCTGTGGTGTTGTGAATCGTGCCACGCGAGCGCATCCCATGTAGTTTGCACAACATATATATATATACATATATATATATATATATATATATATATATATATATATAACGGCGCCTGCGTTGTCATTTTCTTGGCATGTTTGGGCCAATTTCTTCTCGCTTGATGCAACTGGGTTGGGTACGTCACAGGGTAAAAGGCACGACTGGGGAAACGGGCGAGAAGCTACGTCTACAGACGAAGGGCACCTGTCAAAACACCCGATGGATGATTATCGCATAGCCTTCGGCACATCCCGCCACCGTGCCTGGGTTGCGGGTATGAGGCCACTCGGATGTTTGATGGGTTTTCGTGGAAGGCATTTCGGGGGCGTCTTGGAGGCAGTTGTTGAACCTCTTGGGAGTTTCCTGGGGGTCTCTTGGGTTTTGTTCGGCAATATATGGGTTCCTTTGGGGCCTGTTGGGGCCTCCTTGGGGTAACCCGGAGGCGTCTTGGGTGGATGATTCGAAATGTCTGTTCAGGTTCCCCCTCTGGGCCCCCTTTTGGGGCTGTCTCGGGACTCTCTTGAACCGTCTTGGGGGTTTCGTGGGCCGTTTGGGGGCCCTCTTGGGTTGTTTTGGGGTCCGTTTGGGGGCCTCTTGGCCCGTCTTGGGGCGAACTTGAAGGCCTCTTGGGCCTTCTGGGACGCTGTGAACGCCCAACAGGCGAATGTGGAAAAAATACATGTCCCCCAAAGGAGTGGCACGATGTATGCCCTCTTTGGACGCCTTTTGGGGGCTTCCTGGGGCGTCTTGGAGGCCTTTTGGGCCGTGGATGCCAGCGCGGGTGTTTTGGATTGATCTTCCAGTGGCTCGTGGCCCTTGTGGACCGCTCCAGGGGCCTCCTGGGGTCCTCTTGACATGTTTTTGGGCCCTCTGCCCCCCCCAGTGCGTTCACCCAGATCCTAGGGGACCCCCCCTCTCCGAAGCGACCAGACCAACCCCAAGGAGCCGGCGGATTGCGCAATGTGGAAGCCAGGCCGCCGAAAAATCAGGATTCAGGACTGAGGCTTGCGGGGTTGGGCCGAGGACCTGGGGACACTCCAACTCGCGCGTCAAGGGCGCGGTGGCGGATGCTGAATATGTTGGCATAGCGTGTTTGCGCAGGTCGCTAGGAAATCACCACCACCATCATCCATCATCATTGTCGTCGACGGCGGCGGCAGCAGCATCATCAGCATTACCCCACCAGAATCATCCCCGCCATCGAGCGTTCGGTCCCCACGCAACTCCACATCGTTCCCTTGCCCGCCTCCCACGCGGCCATCCCCCCTCTCCGCAGGACTTCCAACGTCGTGATGTTGTTCGCAACGTCGACCCCCTGAGGTTGAAACACGTCTTCCCCGGCGACCAGCTATTCGTCCTGAGTTGGTTATCGACGGTCCCGCGCCCGTGTGATGAGGGCCCACGGAGACCGAGAAAGGTCAGAAGCCGCCCGTCGTGCCTGGGCCCCTGCGGTCGGCCCGCTCCGGTGCTCGGCGCTCCGGCGCGGCGGCAGGGCGGGCTCCGTGCTAGGCGGCGGGCTCGCCCGCTCACGCAGGTCGAGGCTCCGCGACCGCTGGGCTTCAGCCACACGCGCCGAGGGGGGCGGGTGGGAGGGCGTCTCGGAAGCACCCCTGCCTCCTAGAAGGCGCGGGCCTCATCTATAGGTGTAGGGCCGGCGCCTTCTGAGAGGCAGCCTCCTTCTAAGAAGCCCTCCCCCCTCCCTCCACCCCCTCGTGCGCGCCGCCCTGGACTGGCCCGCGTGCCACGCCCACGGCGCCATGGCGGAAGGCCCTCCGCCGGGTGCTGCGGTCACAACCGGGCTTCTGGCGGCCGCTCGGGACGATCCGGGCAATTGCGCCTGGAGCGCTCTCGGCGAGGCGCAGCTGCCCCGAGGCGAGAAACAACCCTCCAAGGATCAACGAGAACCTCCGAGGACTTTGACCGAGGTTTCTGCTGTGTGTGAAGTCCGCTCCGATCTCGGAGGTGGATATAAACCTCCTACCCTGACACGTCGATTAAGGAATTGGCCGTTTTCGGTTCGCGAGAGGGCGTCCGGGCCATCATTTTTGCGGGTCCAGGTCCGTCGGTTTCGGTTCCAGGCCGTTTTCACTAAGGGGAGGTTTACAAAAAGGGAGGTCTGTCCACCGCCGACGATCACCTTTCTATCCATCTATCCTGCGATGATCTCGGCTCAGGTCTTGGAAACAGGTGCAGCGCCGCCTGCCCGCTGCAATCGTCTCGGCTCAGGTATTGGAAACGGGTGCAGCGCCGCCTGCCCGCGGCGCGGGAAACAGGGATCGCTACCCTCTCCCGGACCTTCCTCCACCTACGGACACCTCAGTAGGTTCGACTCTTTGGCTTTCAACCTGCGTGCACACGTGCCCCCCCCCCCTCCGCTCTCCCCGGGGGCGCGCCGAAGCGGCACGCGGCCCCGCCAGGCTTCCGTGGGCTTCCGCTGAGCGCCAGGCCGGGGCGCCTGATCCCGCGCGCGGCGGGGCTGGCGGGGAGAGCTCCTCCCGGGGCACTGGCAGCGGGGGGGGAGGAGGGAGGGAGAGAGAGGAGGGAGAGAGGGGAGGGAAGGAGGGAGGGAAGGAGGAGGGAGGGAGGGAGGGAAGGGAGGGAGAGGGAGGGAGGGAGGGAGGAAGGAGAGAAAGGGGGAGGGAGGGAAGGAGGAGGAAGAGGGAGGGAAGGAGGAAGGAGGGAGGGAGAGAGAGGAGGGAGAGGGGCAGGGGAGGGAGGGGAGGGAGGGAGGGAGGGAGGGAGGGAGGGAGGGAGGGAGTCTGGGCGCGCACGCGACAGTGCCAGACGTGCCGCAGGAGGAACACGAGCCTCCGCGGCACTAAAACACTAAAAGCTTGGCCGTCTGCTCGAGCAGCGTCCCGAGCCCTTCGGAGGACTCCGCCACGGTTAAAGCCTGGCCCAGGTATTGCGGCGACACCACGCCCGACGTCACGAACCGCCCCGCAGGCGGCCAGGTACACAGGGTTGGCTTCCGCCAACTTGGCCTCCAAGTCCACGACGACGCTCACGGCCTCATCGATCCTTGGCTTGGTCGTGCTGATAGTCACCAGTTCAAAAGCCAGGCCGTTCTGCATCAGGATATTCACGCCCACGCCGTCGATGTCCTCATCACCACCGATGTTGCTCTCAGCAGCGCAGCCATCACGCTGCTCAGCGACAAACGTGCTGCCCGACTCGCCGCAAATAGTAGAGTCGCCAGCACCCTTGTCCTCCAGGAAGGACTCCAGGTCGATGAAGAGGTCCACGTCCAGGTGCGCCTCCGAGTTCCTCAGCTTGCTCAGGCGCCCAAGCCGCGATGCAAGCGCTCCGCCATACTGGCAGAGGGCGCGCTTCGCCGCCGTGAGCGAGGGCTTGGCGTCGAGGACGCCCGCTTCACGACGCCGACAGCACGCTCCAGGAGCACGATGTGCGCGATCCCGTCAGCCTGCTGCACGTCGGCGTCTTGCCGAAAACCTCCAGCTGCAGATGCTGCACCACGGGTCGGCAGCAGCTACCGCGGAGTACAGGACCTTGCCCTCGAGGCCAGATTGCAAGACAGCCAATTGAAATCCAGCCAACGCTGCAGCGGGAACACCATTGTGGAAGGGCCGATAGGGAAGCAACAGCAAATCGGACGCACGCGCTGTGTGCAAACCAACACAAAACTTGTGGAGGCGTGCGCGCCACTCTCACGACGCCTTCGGAGGAGTGCAATCGTGGAGGAGGAGGAGGAGGAGGAGGAGGAGGAGGAGGAGGAGGAGGAGGAGGAGGAGGAGGAGAGCAGGAGCAGGAGCAGGAGGAGGAGGAGGAGGAGGAGGAGGAGGAGGAGGAGGAGGAGAGGAGAGGAGGAGGAGGAGGAGGAGGAGGAGGAGGAGGAGGAGGAGGAGGAGGAGGAGGAGGAGGAGGAGGAGGAGGAGGAGGAGAAGGAAGAGGGGGAGGAGCAGGAGGGAGGAGGGCGGCATGGTGGCCGAGGACGCGCGCGAGAGCAGCCGCGCGCCGCAGGCGAGGCGGCGCTCGCGAGTTTTTCAAAGAAGAGGGATTTCGGAGGCGCCTCGGGCGTCTCCGAAAGCCGCGCTACAAAAAGGGCACCCGCCACGCCGCGCCCTTGCCCCGTCTCAGAGGC